CTGGAACAGGAAATCCGAGAACCAAGACGAGGCGACGGCAGTGCTCCTTCGAGCTCAAGGAACAGCCCAGCCAATGACAGTGAAATCGCAACCAAAACATCAAGCCCCGAAGCTTCATCGTCGGCCTCTAAGAACAAGAGGCTCTCTGCTTCGGGAAATACGACAGGGCAAGGCGGGCAGGTCTGCAGGTCAGTTTCCCCCTCGAGCCCAATTATGATTTACAGTTATTGACCAGTTATGCAGTAACTGCGGTACTACCCGAACACCTCTTTGGCGGAGATCACCACAAGGTGCTACGATCTGTAATGCATGTGGCCTGTATCTCAAAGCTAGAAATGCTTCCCGACCGACAAGCCTGAAGAAGCCGCCCAGTGTTGTGTCCTCTGGTACTTCTCAGCCTGGTTCAAGCAAATCAGCCTCTGCATCAGGAACCAAGTTACTCCCTAATGTTGCCGGTGCGACCTATGTTGCTGCCGATCAAACAATGTCAGGAACCTGTCCGGGTGGTGGACGGTGTAACGGGACGGGCGGCGCAGAAGGTTGCAATGGCTGCCCAGCGTACAACAATCGGATGTCCAAGAGCGCACATTTCAACGTGGTACAGAGACAGGGAAGTTGCGGGAGCAGTGGCGCAGAGCCTGCTAAAACCGAACCGATTCCAATCGATATCAATGCCCTCCAAGTACAAGATCGAGAGACTACCGTGGTTGTTGCATGCCAAAATTGTGGAACTACTATTACTCCTTTATGGAGGAGGGACGAGAGCGGGCACACAATATGTAACGCATGTGGTACGTGGTTCATCTCAGATCTCCCCCCCCCCTTCTTGTTGCATTTGTGCTAACAACAGTATTCTAGGTCTGTACTACAAACTCCACGGCGTACACAGGCCGGTCACTATGAAAAAGGCCACCATAAAGCGACGCAAACGAGTCATCCCAGCAGCTGAAAACGAGGAGGATGAGTCGATGGAGTTGGTTGAGACGCAGAGCCAAGAAAGGACGCCTGAACGAGGGACTATGAACGAGGACGGATCCATCAATCTCGGTTTTCGACGTCGCGCCGAGCATCCCATGACCATCGAACCCGAACCAGTAATGCGAACCAGCGGAAACACTTCGCCACTTCCATCAGCATCGGATCTAGCGGCATATCATCAACCCACCGGGAGTTTACGTAATATACCGACACCTCTTAATGACGAAAATCGACTGGCACCATTGACTTCCATGGCAGTACCTCCTCCAACCGATGACAGACAACCGTCCTTGTCCCCCGCATCATTCCTTTCCCCCACTCGGAAGCGTTCATTCTCCACGACTGAGGCAGAGTCTGTTAGTGGCACGGAAAGCATCAACGATAGCGCTAAGCGAGTTTCATCCATAAAGTCTATTCTCAACCCTTCCATGAGTGCTGATGAATCACCAACTTCTCTGCATTTTAGTATGGATAGGGGAGACTATTCGCTCCCTCCCATCAGATCATCTGGGAGCGCTGCGATAATAACCGGCGGAGGGTCGTTCACCCCATTAAATGCGCCATCAGCAGCTCGCGACGCGAATGTGGAAGCAGCCGGACGAAAGAAAGAAGAGCGCCGCACGGCGCTGAAGATGGAAGCTGAACAAATGAGGGAATTGTTGGCTGCTAAAGAACGTGAACTGATGGAACTCGATGAATGATTAATGACTAGAACCTTGGATGTCTTATGATTGAGGGTGCTTCCAATGACTGATGAGTTTGTTTTATTATCTCAACGACGAGTCACCGACTTTTGGGTTATCAAATGGGCATGACTGTCCAAGGGGAACGGCGTATCCGGAAAATATCAGAGGACATTGTTCAAAAACGGACCGGGATTGCGTTTACCGCCAACCTCCCACGAGGATTGGACACATTTACGGTGTTAAGGGGGCAGGTTTAACCAACGGTGTTTGACCAAGGTCATTGTAACAGTGTAAACATATGGTTTACTTTTTCGTCTTTCGAACGCGGCACGTACATAGGATTGGATGTCTGGTATAAATGGGAACAGATATCATTTCATTGATTATACCTCGCCAGAAGTAACCGTTGTCTACATCTGTATTCCGGGCCCATGAGTGAGAACTACAAGAACTAGGGACCAAGGGGGTGGATAGGGTAGTGGATGAGGACTGGCAGCACGCCAAATAGACGATCATGATGGGACTTATCAAGTGACTAAATTCAAGGATAAAGACCTACTCCAAGCCAAAAGACTCTAGGAATAACTACCTTCTATGCTCATTTGCAATAGCTCTGGCTTTTCACCGTTTCACTCTCCTTTACAAACCAAGCTCTGATAGGGATAACGATAGATTTCCAGACCAGTTAAACGGAGTAGTTGAGTAAGGGTCCCCCTTTATCCCAAGGATATTCCTTCACAAGCTTAGGGAAGTGAACCTAGGGAAGAAACCTTGAACGAAGTCCGCAGAGAAACACCCTTGAAGCATATCTGGACCACACGCACTCGATAGAGTATAGCTGACCGGACATATACTTCAAGACTGCCAGATACTAGTTGCATGTCGGTAGTTCAGGGCGGTCTTTTCTCATAGATTTCCCCGTTGGCCAGTGACGGCCTCGCCTTTCAGCCCTAAGGGTCCTGCTGAGACCCAACGATGAAGGGTTCGGCATTTGATTCCCGGTTTCCTCGAGACACAGGGCTGGCCATCGTGGTCGGGGGGACTTGTGTAATCAAAAGACAATCTAGAACACTCGCATATGCAGCGACAACCGAGTGTGACGACGGCTCATCGATTTTCCTAAGGGCCTTTTTGTTCTGGCAGGATACATGGCGTTCTCTGAGACAGGAGAGCCCCAAAGTACCAACATGTAGACAAAGATTTTTTTTATCTGATGCCCGCAAGGCCAAGGGAAGAGAAGAAGCCTCGGGAAGAAGGGGGCTCCATGTTCTACTCCCCCCTCCCCCCACATATCCCGCGGCCCCCGTGTGCCATGTTTTATTTCCCCATTACTACATTAAGGTTGAATAAGGTTTCAAGGGCGAAGACACACACAAGACACATCTCAAAATGGAGCCTTAACGCCGGTGTGTCTACCATTGAGATGAAACCTGCAGCTTTCTTGGAGGGAGGGTTTTTGTTTTGTTTTTGTTTGGTTCTGAGACCGTGGGTCAGCACTAGGGGAAAGGAGGGAAGCGGGATATGGGCGCCCGGGCATGAAACATGTATGCTACCTAAAGTCACCGACGTTTTGGAAAATTTCTTCAACGATATGAGAGAGAGGGGGGAAGAGAAAGATAGAAGTGAGGGGGGATGGAGTGAGATGTGAAAAAGAAAAGAAAAGAAAAGAAAAGAAAGAAAAACAGCTATAGGAATGGTGGTAGGTAATTAGTTAGTTACCCGTCTTGCTTAGCCAAGTTGAACAAGGCTTAGGACGGCGCAGCAACAAAGAGAAGTTTGATACAAAGTAGATTCAAAATAAAAGAACGCCACCTTTCTTACAGGGAGGGGGGGGGCTGTGAATGCTTGTCACAGTACCTGGCGAAAAAAAACTGTACGCCATCGATAGATAGACTCATTCAAGGGGGGGACGCGGGACAAAGGTCAGACAGCGAAGCAAAGGCGTGAATCTGCAGATAACGAGCCAGGGGGGTAACATATCTAAAACAAAACAAAACAAAAACCATGACTATGGGAAAGGAAAAAGTACTCTCTCTCGACAGATTAGGTAATTAAGATTCCAACTTTTTGCTTTACTTGTACTTCCAGGGTATGTATTATTTGTTTTTCTTTTCTTATTTTTACATTTCGCCTATCGCGCTTACAAAGTTAGATTGCTGATGGCCCAATCTACTTGTGCCTGGGAGAGTTGATCCCGGGGGTGGCCGTGGCCGTGGTCGTGGTCGTGATGCATGACAAGGAATCCGAAGTGGAGATGTTTAGAGACATGCACGCTCAAATTCTCTGTCTCTGTCTCTGTCTCTGTCGTCCCCCCTCAGGAGTTGAAGAAAAGCTTGATGTACATACGAAACCGGTAATTTAGTTTGATAGATATACTTTTTTCTGGCCTTTCCTAGAAGAGGAATAAAGTGATTCCAAAAGTTGCTACATCTAAAACCAAGGAGCAATCAACCGAGTTGTTTCGGTGACTATTCACCGAAATATCTGATAATGCAGTCCAACCTCACCTGCCTTATCTACTATGTAGGTGGGTAGGTGTACTCTAGGGAACTGCCGAGCCTTGACGTGCCCCTATAAATAAACAAAATAAACAAAAAAAAGCTTGGAAAAGTTTTTTGCACGTAATCAAGTGTTGTGGAAACCATTACATGTACTAGTAAGTGACCCTGAGTCGACAGAACACATCTAGATCGCAAAGTACTGCCCTATAGTTGTAGGTGAATATGCGTAAGGGGGTGGTTGGCCATGTGGGCATCATCAGAACCCAAGAGCAAGTTGAGTGCGAGTGCGAGTGCGTGTGCGTGTGCCCAAGTGCCCAAAGCAGCACCACAGAGACCACAGAGACCCTAGAAACCTGCCAAGAAGGCCCCCTCCCCCTTCCCTGTCTCATGTCTCATAAGTTACGTTGTCTCGGGAAATCAGGTTGGTCCCCTCCTCCCCCTCCCCTCCCAAGGCGGTTTTTTCGGTGAGATTGATGTGCAAAAATCGCATACGGCAAGTCATCCATTTTCAGCCTCTCGGGGGTCAGACTTGCTTTTTCCTTTTGTCTCAACTTGTCATTCCAAGAGAAGTTGAAATATCCTCCAATGAGAGCAGAGATAATGCTTGATTGTCTTTTTTCTTTCCTTCTTGCATGCCACTAACCTCCTGATGAGAGAGACCCTTGATCTCAGGGGGGATGAGAATGAACACTGTGCACTTCTCGAACAAGTATTTACTCTTATTACTCTAGACGACTTGTGTCAGAATCTGGACAAAAAGAACAGCGATGCAGTTTGATAGTATTCACTTGATTGACTTCCTGTACACCAAAAAAGCAAAAGAAGAAACAGTGAGTTCCGGCGCCGGGAGTCGAACCCGGGTCCCAGCGGTGAAAGCGCTGTATGATAACCGTTACACTACGTCGGATGAGAAACCTGATCTCAGGGTTAGGGTTCTTTGTTGTTGAAGCACAGACAGTAAAGTTGTAATTTGAAGTCTCACCGAGACAGGCAACCCAAGCAAGCAAGCAAGCAACATGTACTTATAGATTATCTGCCTCTCTGCCTGCCTGTCTGTCTGTCGGCCGGCAGTTGGGGCTGGGCTGGACTGGGGTTGGTGGTCGTGTGCGGCGGGCACGGTGATACGATGATACGAGGAAAGACGACATCCCAGAGACATTCCATGTTTCAATATCGCAGGTTGGGAATTAGCTCATCACATGCAATATTACTCTGTACATGACAATCTCGCCAATTCAAATTCGATGAAACATAATCAATGCCGACCCTTAATCTTCTTCTTCCTTTTCTCTCTCTTTCTCTCTCTCCCCCACAGTGAGACTTGAAAAAAGGGTCTCAGAGTCATGCGTACAGTAAGTAGATGATAAGTTTGGGAAGAGGGCTTAGGCTATTGGTTGCCGATATTTGCCCGATATGCCTACTCGGCCTGCTTACACACTCTCTCTCTCTCGCTCACACTTTCTGGGCATGGCTAAAAAAAAACAGCCTTTGTACAACAAAACCCCGGTCCGGGGCTTTATTTTGTTATTATTATTATTATTATTATTATTATTATTATTATTATCATTACCAAAGCGGAGAAATTAAACGAAAATGCAGGTGCAGATGCAGATGCAAATGCAAATGCAATGCAACGTCAAGGGATAGGAGAGACGCTCAGATTTCTGCTGCAGATGTCTGTTTTAGGAGTGTATGCACTTGCAGTACCGAAGGCTCATTATGATAGGTATTCCGGGCTGTATGTGGATGAGAAGAATATGATGATCATCTAGACTCTTGTCTTTCTCTCTCTCTCTCTCTGTCTAAAGAAAAGCATCTGACTACATGCATACGTTAGTAGGTATCCATAATGATATAGTAGTATTTCGACCAGGGGGAGGACATGGAATTAACATTCCGAGTCACACGGTGTGTCGTGGGTTCCATGTGGAATGTGGGTGTGGTGATGCATCTCGGTGTTGGAATCGGGGCCCCGGGTTATCAAAAGAAGAATGGTTGATTGATGGCCCCTCCCCTCCCCTCCCCTCCCCTCCTCCACAAGAGATAGAATAGCCGCTCGGCGGGCGTCCGACGGCGGTACTAAAAGCTTAAAGCCGCCTGAAACAAAACACAAACAAGGGGATGACTCTGATGAATATGGGTTCCCAGGGCTGTGATGGGGAATGATTGGGGTCCGGTCCCCCCAGTCAAGGGAAGACGATCCGGCCGTGACTTGGGGGGGGGGGCCGGAGAGAGAGAAAAAGAGACGCTTGGATGTATGTAGGTTGTTGTGGTGTTTCGGCCTGTGGTCTGTGTGGTCTGTTTAGGCGTTGTGGACTATCAACAAGGAAGCTTCTGGATCGTTCTTTTTTGTAATGAGTGGAATCATAAAGGAAAGCAAAAAAGGAAAGAAAAAAGAAATAAGAAAAAAGTTGACAAGACAAAGATAGATGGGACAATAATACAATGATGTCAGCCGCTGAACTAATAACAAAGCATGGATATAGATGATGGGGCGCGGAAACCTTCCAGACCAAGCCTTGTTTCTTTTTTCTTTTCTTTTTTCTCTCCCTTCCCTTTCAAGGGTTTTCGATATGGAATCATATCTACGAGTACTCGTGGTATGGCATGACATACTTGTAGCATGACATGGCATGGTATGGATGCACTTCGTATTTGCTCGCATAGACTGGAAATTACCAACAAGTATTGGACGTCTCCCCATACACACATACCTTGCCCATCACTCAATAAACGGTCTATGCGAGGTGAGAAAAAGAGGACCGCAGCAACAAGCAACAAGCAACAGCAGCAAGTCGAGAAGGCGCTCTGCTTTTCCCAAGTCAGACTACAAGTAAGCTAATAGTGGTTCGAATCAAACTTGGATGCAACAAGAGACCACCATCTTGGCGTGTATCCTTGCGTACTGTTACCTAAAAACCCGGACGCTACTATCGCATCTTTTTTGGTTGCATTAATAATCAAAGTCATCATCATCATCATCATCATCATCATGCAAATGGATGGATGCGATTGATAAAAAACTCTAAGCGATGATAAACCAACCAACCTTGCTTGTGTATGTAGGTATGCAACGAGTATGAGTTTATATCTCTGCACACATACATACGATACCATAGAATACCATAGCCAACCTTGTCTTGTCTTGTCTTGTCTTGTCTTGCCTTACCTTGTCTTGCTTTGGCCTGTTGGGGGGTCTTTTGACTGGTTGATTACAAAGCTGGGCTTCCTTGATGCTACACACACTGCCTGCCCGGAGGTCTTTTATACCTCCAAACACAATGCATCAAGCGTCGGCGCCGAAGAAAAAAAAGAAAAGAAAAAAGAAAAAAGAACCTTCTAAAACGCCATGTTTTTCATGCCAATCATTGAATTGTCCATGCACAAGTTGGCATACGCTGTGCTAGTGCCCTCCGTGCATCTCACTCAACACGCGCCATCCTTATAAACTTGCGCAAAAGGCCGTTGTACTGCCGTTCTAGAAAAGATGGTGGTAGTGGTGGTAGTGGTGGTTGGTAGTAGTGTTGAAACTTGGTGGGACGGTATCGGCTCTCGACACCCAGACGTTCGTCACGGTCTGGCTGGACGGTCTCCACGTCGGAGCGGCTCCACGGCTTGTCATGGTGTGCGTGCGTGTTGTCCGTCCTCCCACCCCCGGGGATCTTTTGCTCTATTTTGAGGGGGGCCGCGGACATATACAAAATAATTGGCCGTCATCGGTATATCAAAAGAGGGTACCCTCACGGAGTACTCCGTGGAGAATGAGAGAGAGAGAGAGACAGAGAGAGACAGAGACAGAGAGAGGTGAGGCGAAGCAGGGAAAGTAATTAAAAAAAAAAGGCAGGGCAAAGTCTTACCATTCTCTTTGTAACGCCTATGGATTTTTGAGCTTGAGCCTGAGCCTGAGCCTGAGGAGGAGGAGGAGATCCTTGGATACCTGTCCCATCAATCAGATCTTGCTGGGAACGGATGTAGCCGTACGTGTAGATTGAGCGGTGCGGAATTGGCACTGTGCTCAAAGCGGCTCGTTAAGCGGTCACCGATGATTGGGTATACTTTGCCGTATTTCCCACCATAAGCAGCCTCTGCTGAACCTCTGGAGACCCACAATATTCCGACCTACATGGCAACGCTTTGTCCCACACAGTGCCTAACCACACTGTTGAATTGTATGCGCGGTTGTCAAACGAAGGGCGCAAAATTGACATGTTCATGGACGCTTTTGTAGCACCAACATGTCCAACATCCCTGCCGCACCGGCTCCGGCTGAGGCTTGCTCCACAAGTCCAGGCTCATGACTCTTCTCCCACTGGCTCCAAGCGCGCAAGAGAGTCTGTCTCCCCCAGGGAAGGAGGTCTCCTAGGGATGCATCATCAGTTTCCCCCCAAGCATGGATCAAGGGGTACCTTGAGGTACTTGTGCTGTTTGGACGGGATATTGCATCTTTGTACCTACCCTCCCTCCCCCTCCAGTAGGTAAGGCAGGCGCAGGCGCAGGCAAGTAGGTAGGTAGGTAGGCGGGCAGGCAGGTAGGAGGAGGAGCAGGAGCAGGAGGGTACGTATCTCTCACACTTGACCCCCATATTGAACTAACAAAACTTGGCATCGGTCCGCTTTTGCTCTGACTTCTCTGAGCCACTGTCCCTTTCCCTTGTCAGAATCAGAAAAGCGCATCAGATTTCCCTCCCATGTGAATCTCGTCATCATTAAGAAGTGAGTCCCTCTTCCGAAAAGGAACGAAAGAAAGAAAAAAGGGATCCTCATTGCTTTGGTGATAAAGAGAGAGAGAAAGAAGAGAGAGCCGAAGGAATAAAAAGTGAGACAGCCTGGTCGACAGCTTGCTTTTTGAGTGGTGTCCCTTCATCCTCCTGCTGCTTTGTTGCTTCTGCTGCTTGCTTGCTGCTACTGCTGCTGCTGCTGCTTCTGGGTGGCTCCCCCATACTTGTTACGTACAGCAAGCCATCCATTTCCGTTTACCTATCTCTTCTCTTCCCCTGCTACGCCCTTCCCACTTGACCCGACCTCTGGTTGGATGAGGGCCACGCCTTTCACTTGTCAACACTGAGAAGACACGCCCTTCCTACTCATAAGGTTTCCATCTCGGAATGCCAACAATCGAAGAGATGGATGACTTCGTCGACTGGGGAAATGCAGGTGCTGCCTTTGGCGGCGCCTTTAACAACGTTCCGAACATGACGACCGTCCCAGGACATCCGCAACCGGATGACAACATTGGTCTTGTTCTCGAGAATGCTTCCGAGGACGAGTTTAGTTTTCAAGCCCTTGAACATTTCTCACAAAACAACTTTCGACTCCTTGGAAACGACCCGCCAACAATGAATCTCCTAACCGACTCGCCCGTCCAGCTCCTGTGGGAGACTCCAGCGAATCCGTGTGCCCACTGTGTGCTCGGTGGCTACGCCTGCAAGAAGATCAGGGAAGGTATTCATAAAGGGTACTGTACTAGTTGTGTTGCACTCGGCCTCGAGTGCAGCTTCGGTGGCGTCGTCCCTGACAATCTTAATCCTGAATCCACCAGACTCTCCTCTTGGGCCGCCAACAGCAATCGTCTCAATGCCATTACACAGGAAGACATCAGCGAGTCCGCGAGGCCTTCGGGTAGCACTTCTTTTACCGACCTGCTGAATCAGCCGGCCACTGGCGATGATGCGTCTGCCGCTGCCATTGCCATTGCAAAGGCGGGCACCCCACCGCCCAAGATTGGCGCGCGTTTCTCCAGGGAATCCGTCCGCATCTTGAAAAACTGGCTTTTGACGCACAACCGGCATCCGTACCCCAGCGATGAGGAGAAGGAGATGCTGCAGCGACAGACGGGTCTCAACAAGATACAAATCACCAATTGGCTCGCCAATGCACGTCGACGTGGCAAGGCCCAGCCTCCCCGATC